GTTTTGTAGAATCCATACCCAGCCACATCCTCGCAGAGCAGAGCAGCACAGCTGAGGGGAGGTGCTGACATTCTCAACGGTGCTGACAAGAACCCTTGCCCTGAAAAATTGGCTTCTCCTCCCACGTGCTACAGTGCTGTCGATTCAGCACCACAGAGTATTTGCCTTGGCCCCACCATTCTCCCATAATAGGGTAACACATGAATCTGGTCATGTTGGTGGTGGGATTCTCTCCATGAGGCTGCACAGAGAGAGAAAGAGGGGCACAGATGACATCGCTGCTCTTCCGAGTCTGCCCGGATGCCACGTAACCTGAGTATAAAACACCTAGCTGAGACTCTGCTTTCATAGCCACGTGAAGAGCACAGCCAATTCAGATCAAGCAGAAGAGGGACAGGCACATTGTGAAAGAGGGCAGCAACACTGAGGGACTCAGGCCACGACTGCCTGTGTGCACAGCTGTCTATTCTACTCAATGAGGGAAATGGTGAACATTAGTTATTACGTGGAAGACGAAATGGAGGAGGCTGGTTAGATAATCTGAGTTTGGGAAATTTAGGTTGGAGAACGTTAATTTCTCTGCTGTAAACTTGGCTATTCTAACGTGCACACTGAAGAGGGGGTAGAATGTGACATTTCCTAAGTCTGATCTGAGAACACTTTTGCCAAGAAACATCTTACAGGACTAGTTACATAGGAACACATTTGAGGACTGGCTTCTCTATTAAAGACAGTGACATGATCTAATAATTTATATGCTTTACGATGTAGTTAAATCAGATGTGAACTTAAGCCAAGGCCAGTGGTTTTTAAACTGGGCCAGCCTTACCGCTAGCAGTCTACCAGAGCTTTCAAGGAGTCACAGACTCATTTTTTCAGGGGATCAATGTTCAGATCCTTGACTTCCTTTGCACTCTATCCAAAGACTCATCAGCGTGAGAAGATGCCCTTTTCTCCCCTGACAGAAAGAAGTAGGTCTTCTCCCGACATTCAGTCTTACTGTAGAGCAGGACTCGAGATATAGTTTCAAAGCACAGTGTTTGGAAAGTGAAAGCCTCTTAACAGGATACCGATCCTTCTCCAGTGCTGATGGTTTCCAGTTCTTTGCTTTCAACAAAACTGAAGGAGTACCCAGATATCTGAGTACTTTAGCATGTAATTCTGAAGGAGATGGCTTTACCCTGCTGTCACTAACTCCTCCTGTTCTCATTTGTCTGTGAAAAAGGATCACTAGCATTCCCATTTGTATAACTGAAAGTGGAGAGCAGAACTGATACTGTCCCACAGCCGTTCTACCAGAGATAACGGTAATCCACACAGAGATCAAAGAATGGAGGAGAAGCCTTCTTTGACTCATTACATTGCCAGTGGAATTTTACTGTGTTTAGTTCTTTATTACATGTGTACTCTGTTTATTAAACAAGCTGAATTCAGAAGAAATTTAAAATATGTGGAGCCTTTTTAAATGATGGTGTAGGTAGGATGATGTGTAATTTTGTTACAGATATGCAACTAAACAGTATATAAGCCAAGAATAATTAGGCTACAATTTTGTAAAGTAGAATAAAAATATAAATTCAATGAGTAAAAAAAAAGTGGCATTTCCTACCATTAAAAATTCCCTTGTTTGTAGAATTTTTTGAAAGGATGGTAGTATCTATCACCAATTGTATTTAGAACCTTTGGCTATATTTAAAGGGAAATGGAAATATCTTACCTGAAGATGCAGTATCTACCATGTACCACATGCACCTTTGCAACTGTTCAGGATGAAATTATTAGACATCAATGTAGAAATGCATAAGGGGACCCATGAGTTTTCCACAGTCACTTATGAGGTCTCTGAGCATAAACTTTTAAGAAGGCTGATCCAGGGTCACTAAGGGTGAGTTTTATTTGGACTTAAGAAGGATGGTTGAAGGGGGCTCTAGTTCTTTTAATTTCTAGAAGTGTAGCTGATCTTTCCATATAGGTGATATCCAGCTTTTTGGAGACAACCCTAAAAGCTATATTCTTACCAACAGAAAGCTGATCATTAGATAAAGAAATATGCAGAATTATAAAACTGGCGTTTGAAAACTACTCAGTGATTTTGTGTCAGGCTTTTCATTCTCAAAATATTTTCTTCCTGAAGAACCAATTCCATGGTGACCCTGTCTCAGAAATGTCCATACTTATTTCTCAATAGACTTTAAAAAGCTGCATTTGTAAACGTGTGTTTATTATTAAAGCTTAATTTATTTTTTATATAAATAGTGTGTGCTTGTGTGTACATAGAGAATCATGTGAATGTATCACACAAATGTTGGCTATTGTTAATGTGAGAATTAAACGGCTATATCACATTTAAAAAAAATAAAACTTTGTCTCATTCATAGATTACTAGCAGTCTGTCTGGAATCATTTTTTGTTGTTTGTTGTTAAAAACTATTCACATTTTTTGTTCTTCTATAAACTAGGATATAGGTCTGCCAGTGATAACACAGTTACCATTTTTAAAAAAATAATGTTTTTCTATCCTTTCCTTTTTTCCCTAGGTTACTAGTCTTTCTTACTTTAAGCAAAATCTCACTCCGTGTAGAAACCCAAGTTTCTAAAATTAATACATGACCACTCTGCAGTTTGTTGGTCTTAGGAAGAATGTTTTGTGCTAGTCATGCACTGATGTTAGTAAAAACACCTGTATTTCTCAACTAAGCAACAGGGCCCGCCAGACTACAATCATTGTATTTTCTTGTCATCAGGTCCTGTGCACAGGAAGCCACACTGCATCCTAGACCTGATGACTGGACTAGTCACCCTGGCCCAAAAACTTGAATGCAGCCCATGACAAACCCCTGCAGTAGAAGAGACATGGAGAGTAGTAAAAAAACAAAGAATGAATTAAAACTGCTGAAAGATCACTTTTTAAAAATGGATAAAGTCATAATTCCCATAAAGATACTAACTGAACACCTGTCTGAAATTTTATTTAACCCCTTCATTAACCATGGAATGAATAAAATATAATAACTGGTTCAGAGGAGAATTCAAAGAAGAACACGCGATTAGGCTCCCCGGTGGTCCTGATTATCTGATTCTACACCTTTCATTGTGAGAAGTTCAGACGATTCTTATCCCTAGAAACCCAGATTGTGTCCAGTGAAGACTGAATGGTCACTGGCTCTGAGTATTGACCAGTTTTCCTAGTTTTTTTTTTTAATCTGTTGAGCAAATTTATGTTAGCATCACCAACAGGCATGAAATCTGACCCTGACCTTATACCACACACAAATATCAACCAAAGTTAGATTACAGATCAAGAGGTAAAAGATCAAACAGTATCACCACCTTATAGTAGGGAAAAGTTGTTTCAACAAAACAGCAAATGCTTCACCTGGCACGGAAGGCAGCTAAACTAGACTCTGCTAGAGTTCACCACTGCTGTTCATCAAAAGATACAGTGAGGATAATAAAAAGGCAAGCCGCAGGGTGGAAGAAGACTTTCCAATAAACTTATCTGACAATCTCACTGAAAATGTGACTCGACCCCTCCAAGTTACTAAGATAATCCTCTAGGGTAAAAGGTGTATTCCATGAATAATCACCTCACTAGAGTACATCCAAATGGCTGATAGGCAAATGAAAAGATGCTCACTCATTATTTGCAAGAGGAAATGCAAATTAAGACCACAAGAAGATACCACTAACACACTTGCTGGATTGGAAAAAATTGAAAAGTCTGTTAACAGTACATTCAGTTCTTAGCAAGAACATAGAGCAACTGGTAATTGTGTAATTTGATAGCAAATTACATTGTAAAGATGTTTGACTCTCTACTGATGTTTACCACGTGCATAGCCTATGAGCAAGCATTCTACTCCTGCATACAGCTGGCCCTCCATATCTGTGAGTTCCGCACTCGTGGATTCAACCAACCTCAGATCATGTACTATGTTTGCAGTCCACACTGGCTGAATCAGCAGGTGCCGAATCCATGAGTGCGGAGGGCCGGCTATGAGACTTAAGCATCCTGAGAGTTCTGTATCCACAGCAGATCCTGCAGGCAATCCCCTATGGATACTGCGAGACAAGAGCATACCTGCTAGAAGGGCATCCCTGTGTCTCCTAAGGACAGGTACAGGACAGTCTGTAGCACTGTTCCGCACTAGGCAAAGCCAGAGGAGTCCTGTTGTCTCTCTACTGTGTGTGTTAACTGTGTGTCTTCACACAGTGGAGCACACAGCAACTACAAGTGGCTGAGCTGTAAGCAGCATGGATGGATCTCACAAGTGTAATTTGAGTGAAGGGAGCTAACAACACAAACAGCAAAGAAAAAAAAAATGGAAAACCACAAATTACTAGGATGATATACAGGAAAATGTAGGATATTTGAGAGATGGATTAGTATAAAAAGGTGATGCAGAATGGAGCTCAGCACATATATACAACATGGATACATTCAAACACTGCAGTGTGAAAAAAGTGAAATGCAGAAAAATGCACTCAGTGATACCATTTATACACATTTTAAAAACTACAAACAAAACTATTATATGTTGCATGGAACAGACATACAGATAAGTGGAAGTATAAAACTGGACTGAAAGGGACATCGAAAAGTCAAGGTAAAGATTGAGTCGGTGGGGAAGGCAGTGTTAATTCTGTTGTGTGTTTCCTTTCTTTTTTGAACACTGGAAGTGTTGGTCTGCCTGGTACAAACGTAAAAGCAGACCTGCTTACAAAGAAGAACTTATACTGATCCTTCTCCAACTCCGCTTAAAGACTGAAGAGGAAAGAACACTCCCAAAGAGATTCTATGAAGCCATTATCACCTTGATACCAAAACCAGAGACTCCACCAAAAGAGAAAACTACAGCCTAGTCCTTTTGTTGACTACAGACCCAACAAATCTCAACCAAGTATTAGCAAACTGAATCCCACAATACATAGAAAAGATCATAAGCCATGGCAGCCAACTGAGCCGACTGTACCCTTTTCCACGCGGGGCCCAGTGTGCGATGGCGGCACACGGCCGCATCCTCAGTGGGGTGTGCAGCCTGATGGCCTGCTCCAGTTGCCCTATGGGGCCTTGGAGACAGCCCTTTCCAGTGGACGTGCATGACTGGCATGCCGTCCCCAATCGGCTCCAGACAGGAGTGCACAGTGCCTTTGGAAAGCCCCAGGGCACACTGGCCAGGGTCCACATTGCCCAATTCATCATGTCCATCTGCACCAAGCTACAGAACAAAGCTACCAAGCTACAGGTACCTGTGATTGAGGTCCTCCATGAGGGGCCAAGTTCAAGTTCCCTGGTCTCCAGAAGAGCCACATCTCCAAGAACTGGGGATTTACTAAGTTTAATGTGGATGAGTTTGAAAACATGGTGGCAGAAAAGTGGCTCATCCCAGATGGTGGTGAAGTCACATCTATCCCTCATCATGGCCCTCGAAACAAATGGTGGGCCCTGTGCTCATGAGAGCCTTGGCCCTGTCCCCTCCTTACTCGTGCCCACTGATATAAATCCTACTTTCCTGTCAAAAAAAAGTCATACACTATGACCAACTTGGATTCATCCCAGGGTCACAAAGATGGTTCAACATATGTAAAACAATGTGATAAACTACATCAACAAAAGAGAAAAGCCCATGATTCTCTCCATAGATGCAGAAAAAGCATTTGATAAAATTCATCCATTCACAATAAAACCCTTACAACGGTGGGTATAGAGGGAACATATCTTGACACAAGAACAGCTATTTATGACAAAACCATATGCAATAGACTCAAGCTTAAAAAGCTGAAAGCCTTCTGGCTAAAATCTGGACCAAGACGTGGATGCCCACTCTCACCACTTCTCGTCAACACACTACTGAAAGTCGACGTGGATGCCCACTCTCACCACTTCTCGTCAACACACTACTGAAAGTCGACGTGGATGCCCACTCTCACCACTTCTCGTCAACACACTACTGAAAGTCGACGTGGATGCCCACTCTCACCACTTCTCGTCAACACACTACTGGAAGTCCTACCTGCAGTAATCAGAGAAAAAAAGAAGTAAAAGTTCTTCAAACTGGTAGGACAAGAGTGAAATCGTTACAGACACAGAGAACGGGTTTGTGTTGCCAAGCAGGAGGGACGGTGTTGACGTCAAGGGTTGGCAGATGCGGGTTATTACGCATGGGATGGGCAGACGGCCAGATCCTCCTGTCTAGTGCAGGGAGCTATATTCCATAGCACGGGGTAAAACCATACTGAAAAGAATACATATGTGTGCATATTTGAGCCACTTTACTGTATAGCAGAAATTAATACATTATGAATCAACTATACTTTCATAAAAATAAACTACAATAAAAATAAACCTTGAAACGCATAAATACAGGTGTGAGGGAGACAATTACCATCAGAACACCACTGTCAAGATCTACAAATGAATGCTAAAGTTAGTGAAAGTTTGAGGAGACGCAGGCTAATTGCAGTCTCAAAGCACCTTCTTCTAGGAAATATAATTGTAAAAAAATCAAGAGCTTTACAGTGGATGAACCTAGCAGATATCATACCAAAAATGATCAGTGTCACCACTACTAATGTGTGACATCATGTACCTGAGAGGTACCTCGTTTCTGTGAAAGTGTTAGTCACTCAAGTCACGTCTGACTCTTTGTGACCCCAGGGACTGTAGCCTGCCAGGCTCCTCTGTCCATGGAATTCCCCAGGCAAGAGTACTGGAGTGGATAGCCACTCCCTTCTCCAGGGGATCGAACCCAGGTCTCCTGCATCGCAGGCGGATTCTTTACTGTATGAGCCACCAGCCTCAAACAGATCATCAGACAACCCTTGAAGTGCAAGATGTTCTACAGAGCAAATGACCAGCAGCCTTCACAAGTGTTCAGGTCACAAAAGGCCGGGGGCGGGGGCCGGGGGGGTGTTGTGCAGGGCGGTGGCACCGAAGCAAAGCCACGGACTGGAGGAAACTGGAAGCCATAGCAACTGCATGTTGTGTGGGATCCTGGACTGGATCCTGGATGAGAAAGAGGGCACGGGTGGAAAAGCCAGTGAAAGCCGAATAAAATCTGTACATTACTCGCATTGCTTCAGTGCTGTAAGCTTTAAATGTCAACACAAAAAATTAAAAGGGAAAAGCATTGGTGGTAGAGAACAAAGAGAAAAAACCAAAGATGGAGAACTCCACGAAGATTTTGTCACAGGCCAGAGAAAACATTTCACCACAGGTGTTTTCTAGGAACACAGGATTGTTTTCTATTTGATTACACACACACATACATCGATCTAAAACCAGTTGTCAAAGAAGATTCACGAGTTCAAAGTTGGTAATAGTAATAAAATAAAAATGTAAACATGAATTGATACAACCTAAATGGATTTACCTCCATGGAATAAGATAAGAGAGTATGTGGGGAAAATAGTCAAATCTTTCTCTTTGAAGATAATCACTAACATCAAAAAAAGCAAGACCTTGTAGTATAAATGCAGGTTTTTCTTTTGTGTTACAACTGTGGAGTTAATAATCAAAAGAAACAACTGCTAACCGTGGGGAGCAGGGATCAAGGGGCAGGGGGTGGTGCCCAGGAGACAGAGGTTTTTTTTTTTTTGGTAATAATCCTAGTAGCTCTTAGTGGCTCTTTAAACTCTGTGTATATGTAATTAATAAAAATTGAAAATGCAGAACGTGAGTACCTGATACACTGATGAGGAACATACGACTTATTCGAGGACACTGGCTGTGAAGGTGACGAGAGGGGTGGGTCAGGAGCTGGGGTGGGGGTGAAGGGAGAGCTTCTTAAGATGTGCGTGTGCTGCTGATGGAGACGACGTAGTAGAGAAGGGAAGCAGGGTAGAGAAAGGGTGAGTGCGGGAGGGAAGCCGTGGGCGCTGGTAAGGGGCTGAGATGGGAAGACTTCCCGTGTAATTTCTTCTACGCAAAACATGAAGCAAGGCCATCGGCTGACCTTGGGGAGGTTAGGGCTTCCCAGGTGGCGCTAGTGGTGAAGAATGTGCCTGTCAGTGCAGAAGACCTAACAGACGTGGGTTTGATCCCTGGGTGGGGAAGATCCCCTGGAGGAGGACATGGCAACCCGCTCCAGTATTGCTGCCTGGAGAATCCCATGGACAGAGGAGCCTGGTGGGCTACAGTCCATGGGGTCACAAGGAGTCGGACATGACTGAGTGACTTAGCATGCACACACAGGGAGGATGGAGGTGTGACACAATCATCTTAAGGAGAAAAGAGTTTCTTAGTGAAATACAGTAGCATTGTATGGTTTGACGTGTTTCTATAACGTACGTGTTAATGTTTTCTTTAGAACTTTCTCACTGGTATTCATTGATTTTTTTTTGAGGGGGGTGTCAGGTTTTGTGCTGGTTTCATAAAAATTACTTGGAAGCCTTCTTTCCCAGGGCGATGGCACATTCTGAATAGAACTGGAGGCAACTGCTACCTACCTACAACATACAGCAAAGACACCATTTGTGAAGCTTTTTGGGCCTAAGGATTTTCTTGTTTTCTTCTAGGATAAAACAGTTTATTTTCTCTTCTGGGCTACTTTTCTATAATAGCTACTATGTATGTGTATATCTAAAATATACACTGAAGATATAAGAGCCTTAAAATAATTACACGCATGTATTTACTGTCCGTCATCACTCAGTTTTCTAGTTCATACACTCCTTCCACATCTCCTGATCTTTAGTTTATACCTATTAGGTTTTATTTGGCAAGTTTACCTTCCACACTTTCCTAGTTCAGTTTAGATAATGGATTATCTACTTCCCTGATTCTGTGTTTGCGCTTTTCCCACCAAACAACCTACTCTTGCATTTATTTGATATTTGGGTTGACCAATTTGGCCATTTCTGTGTTTATCATTTATCTCCAGTGACTCAGTCTTTCCTTAGCCTCCTGTTCTTTTTTATAATTGCTTGTGTTTGGTTAGGTGATTTCTGCATTTCATTTTTGTGTGCTAACACACATGGACCTGTACACAGACAGGTGGCCTGGGGCTAGTGGGCATCACTCTTCTGAAACACGCATCAAGAAAAGGGACCTGGCAGATACCTAGGATTCAGGCCAGCAGTCAGTTGCTTCTTGAGGGGATGGGATAAAGTGGACACAGCCCTGTGGCTGGGACACAGAGAGGATTAGTAGCATCCAGAGAACCTAGTGCCCCAGTCCATCACAGTAATACTGCTGGCCTCGCCCTTGAGAATCTCCGAGGGGAGAGCTTTCAGAGAACCAGATGCCACTGTACACACAGAGGTGGAAAGACACTTCCATTCCAGATGAGCTGCACACAGAAATATTAACCATCAAGGAATATAATGCTAGCGAGCAGAAAAGCAAGAGAACTGACCAGTGCATATGAAATAACATTGAAATTACAAAAAAGTTTTTAAAAAGAGAGTCCAACTGGATAAACACATTTTAAAAAGATCAACCTTCCTTAAACCTAATCAAGAACATGTAGGAATGAAAGGACCAGGAAAGAAATCTCTGGAACTCTGAGTTTAAAAGTCTTGAAACAATTTTTTTAGACCTTAGTAAGTGGGAAGTTCCAGAATGGATACAGTTAAGGAAAGGACTAATGTACATGAAGATTGTGTTCAGATAATTTGCTTTAATATAGCAAGATAAAATATTAAAATGGTAAAAAAAAAAAGAGTAAAATGAGAAGTTCCAATGTAAAATATGTGGAGAGATAAGAAAGCCTTAAGTGAACAATGCAAACAAATAGAGGAAAACAATAGAATGGGAAACACTAGAGATCTCTTCAAGAAAATTAGAGATACCAAGGGAACGTTTCATGCAAAGATGGGCAAAATAAAGGACAGAAACAGTATGGACCTACAGAAGCAGAAGATATTAAGAGAAGGTGGCAAGAGTACACAGAAAAATTGCACAAAAAAGATTTTAAAGACCCAGATAACCACAATATCTGGGTGATCACTCACCTACAGTCAGACATCCTGGAATGCAAAGTTAAGTGGGCCTTAGGAAGCATCACTACTAACAAAGCTAGTGGAGGTGATGGAATTCCAGTTGAGCTATTTCAAATCCTAAAAGATGATGCTGTTAAAGCAATGCACTCAGTATGCCAACAAACTTGGAAAAAGCAGTGGCCACAGGACTGAAAAAGGTCAGTTTTCATTCCAATCCCAAAGAAAGGCAATGCCAGAGAATGTTCGAACTACCACACAATTGTGCGTATTTCACATGCTACCAAGGTAATGCTCAAAATCCTTCAAGCTAGGCTTCAACAGTACGTGAACTGAGAACTTCCAGATATACAAGCTGGATTTAGAAAAGGCAGAGGAACAGAGATCAAATTGCAACATTCGTTGGATCATAGAAAAAGCAAGGGAATTCCAGAAAAACATCTACTTCTGCTTCACTGACTATGCTAAAGCCTTAGACTGTGTGGATCACAACAACTGGAAAATTCTTAAAGAGATAGGAATACCAGACCATCTTACCTGCCTCATGAGAAGCAGATCAAAAAGCAACAGTTAGAACCAGGCATGAAACAACAGACTGGTTCAAAATTGGGAAAAGAGTATGTCAAGTTTGTATATTGTCACCCTTCTGATTTACTTATATGCAGAGTACATCATGCAAAATGTCAGGCTGGAAGAAGCGCAAGCTGGAATCAAGATTGCTGGGAGAAATATCAGCAACCTCAGATATGCAAATGACACCACCCTAATGGCAGAAAGCAAAGAGGAATTAAACAGCCTCTTGATGAAGGTGAAAGAGGAGAGTGAAAAAGCTGGCTTGAAACTCAGCGTTCAAAAAACTAAGATCATGGCGTCTGGTTCCATCACTTCATGGCAAACAGATGGGGAAAAAATGGAAACAGTGACAGACTTTATTTTGGGGGGCTCCAAAATCACTGTGGATAGTAACTGTAGCCATGAAATTAAAAGATGCTTGCTCTTTGGAAGAAAAGCTACGACAAACATAGACAGAATATTAAAAAGTAGACATCACTTTGCTGACAAAGGTCCATATAGTCAAAGCTATAGTTTTTCCAGTAGTCATGTATGGATGTGAAAGTTGGACCATAAAGAAGACTGAACGCCAAAGAATTGATGCTTTTGAACTGTGGTGTTGCAGAAGACTCTTGAGAGTCCCTTGGACTGCAAGGAGATCAAACCTCTCAATCCTAAACAAATCAACCCTCAATATTCATTGGAAGGACTGATGCTGAAGTTGAGCCCCAACACTTTGGCCACTTATATAAAGAGCCAACTTGCTGAAAAAGACCCTGATGCTGGGAAAGATTGAGGGCAGGAGGAGAAGGGGGTGAAAGAGGATGAGATGGTTGGATGGCATCATCAACTCAATGGACATGAGTTTGAGCAAACTCAGAGAGATAGTGAAGGATAGGGAAGTCTGGTGTGCTGCAGTCCATGGGGTTGCAAAAAGTCATACATGACTGACTGAACAACAAGAAATCATGGCTGAGAATTTTCTAGCATTGCACAGACAAGCATCCTCCAACTATAAACACAGCAGTATAGAGACTCACATACATGCATATTCTACTGAAGTGGAAGAATATCAGGATAAAGAGAAAACTGTAAAATAAGAGAAGACAGATTATCTACAGGCGACTGACACTTAACAAAAGTGCTTCTATGTATAGCAAGAGCAGCCTAAAGAATAAGGGATGCCTTCAAAATGCCTTGGACACACAGCTGTAGGTCTAGGTATTTTATATCCTAATAGCTGCTTTTCAAGACAGAGGGAAGAATGGAAGTATTTTCAGACATACAAAGACAGATAATTTAGTACTAATAAACTTTGCTTAAAGAATGATCATAGTAAGCAAGAAAGAATGCAATACAAAAGCAATGGGAAGAAAAATTAGTTTTATATATATATTATATATATAAACAAAACAGAAATAATCATGGACTTGGAATAGAAAATAAAACTAAAAATTTTTGTAACAATTCAGACTCAAAAGAAAGCCAGGAAATACAGATCACAGAATTCTAAAAGGGAAGAGGGAGTCTTGATTGGGAGGGGTATGCAGCATGAACAATGCTTTATTTCTAGACTTGCTGATGATTCCATGGCTGTTTGCTTTATAGTTATTCACTAAACTATATATATGTTTATGTACTTATCTGAATGTTTCTTCTATACAGATATGCAATACTACAGACTGAATTCTATAACAGCTATAAATGATTTGGGATTAAGGACAGGAGGACAGGCCTCCAATTATATAGAAGCATTAGTGGAAACAGTGAATTTTTTACCTCAAGCAGATCACAGAAATTCTATATGTATGAAAGCCACAGAAGTTGTTTTCTTTTAGGTGGAGGGAAGATGAAAAGAGATGATTCGTACCACAGTGTTAAGACTTTTATGTACTTTTGTTTTGTTTGCTTTAGTCTTAACAGAAAAGGAAGCTGGTCTCCTTACAGAAAAACAGACATTTAAGGCAAGTAACCACTGACTCTTCTCTGTGACTCATTCAGTACATCGATCGGTTACCAAGGGCTGTTCATTTACCTCTACCTCTTGTGCAAGACAATCAGTTTTACTTCTCTGCACCTTGGCCTGTGGTCAGAATAATCTTTACCGTTGCTCTCCCCACATCCAAAGTCAGAGTTCATTCAACCCATTATCCCAGGGCATGTCGATGACGGTTTGTTAAGGTTGTTAAGCTGCGGAAAAAAATTTCAGACCAAAGTACAGTCAGAGCCCAGTTTTTGTAAAAATACAGGACAAAAGAAGCACATTTGTGATTGCCATTGCATATTTTTGCAGCACAGGAATCTCTCACCGGAACCACTGCAACGGTGGTAACAGCCACTGAACTGACCTCCCCAGGAGCCGTCCTTCACACAATAGAGATCTTCTAAAAACATCAGAGAGGTAGCACACACTCATCCTCCCATGCTAAAATCCACAATCCTCACCCTGTGAGAGTTTTAGCATAACAGGGGTACTGCTTTGGCCCAGACAGCAGCAAGGTGTAGGGGCAGGGCTTGTCTCAGCCAAGGCGGGACCCAGCTGCTCTCCCAGGGCTCTGCTCCCCTCTGTCTCCGGACGGTGGCAGAAGGACCACTAGCAACTGAAGACACTCATCACTCTCTCCACTGACCCACAAAAGAAACTTTCTCTTTACCAAGAGCACCAAACCAACTCCCACGGACACCTCCCACTAACCTGACCTGGGTCTTGTGCCTGGAGGTGGTGGTGGCAGGAGAGGAAGTCAACATTACCAGCTAGAGTCACATGCTCATCCCTGGGGGTGTAACCTATGTTTCCCTGGGTCTTCTGGCAGGAGCAGGGGGGACTGGGTAACAGATTTGTTTGAGATGATTCTTATACCATACATTTCACCCACTTGTACAATTCACTGTTGTTTAGTCCCCTCAGAGTTGAGTAACCATCACTATTACCAATTCTGGAACATTTCCATCACCCCAAAGAGCCACTCCTGCTCCTTATCTGACTCCACTCATTCGACCCCCAGGCCACCAGCAATCTACTTTCCGTCCAGGCCACCCTCTCCCTCACCGGCTGTGTCTACTGCAAGCACAGAGCCTCTGTATTTGTATTTGGATGAGAACCAGAAGGTGACACAGGCCCATCTCAAACCAGCCTGGATTAAGAAATATGATCACTGGACAACGTATCTGTTGTTTCAGTGTTTCACAATAAAGCTCCCCTTAACTGGCAACCATAGCTTTCTAGACTGCTTGCTTCTCATGGAGTAAGTGGCTGAGAGTTCACCTTTGGTTGAAACAGACCCTGGCTTTTCTGGGAAGACCCCAGCAGCCGGTCGGGTCTGCCCCGTGCTCCCTGCAGTCTCCCTCCGGGTGGCACGTCCCCCACCTGCCTTGACGAGCCCGCCCCCCATGGCTGTCGGCCCCTCTGTTCTCCAGGAGAGCGAAGAGGAGCTGTATTCCTCCTGCCGCCAGCTGCGGAGGCGGCAAGAAGAACTGAACAACCAGCTCTTCCTGTACGACACCCACCAGAACCTGCGCAGCGCCAACCGCGATGCCCTGGTCAGAGGGTTCAACGTCAACGAGAACCAGCTGCAGCTGTACCAGGAGAAGTGCAACCGCAGGTGGGTCCCCCTGCAGCCACCGTGAGGTCAGGCCCGGGCCAGGGCGGAGGGCAGGCCCCCCCTTCAGGAAGCCTGAGCCCTGACCCCTCTGCTCCATCAACTACTTACACTAAGAGCTCACGCATCTGCACCTTCCCTGAGCTGAACCGTCCTCCTGAGCACGCCCAGGTAAGAGTGAAAATAAGCAATGACCACTACCGTTTAAGGAGCCCTTCTCGCCCTCCCAAGCCTGGGCTCGTCCAGTGGTCCTAAACTCAAGTGGAATCCCTCTCCCCACCTCCCTTCTCCAGAGGAGGATGCTTTGAATTGTGCTACAGACTCGTATGGGGGCGTCGATGATGGCTCAGTGGTAAAGAATCCACCTGCAGTACAGGAGACATAGGAAATACAGGTTGGATTCCTGGGTTGGGAAGATCCTCTGGAGGAGGAATTGGCAACCCACTCCAGTATTCTTGCCTAACAAAACCCAAAGACAGAAGGATCTTGGCGGGCTACAGTTCACGAGGTTGCAAAGTCAGGCATGACTGCGCCTGACAATAGACATGTAAGGAGGGACAGCCAGGTGTGCCAGAGTGCTGCTCCACAAAGAACATTCTCCAAGAAAATGCCAGTAGCAACTTCTCCAGGACAGCAGGGAGATTCCTCACCCTCGTTCTTCTCATGTCATCTTGACGACACTGCACAGGGACAACGACCAGTGACGAGGCAGCATCACAAAAGTTAAGCATCCTGTCAGGGACCTGCTTCCCCAGCTCTGCCCTGTACACCCAGCCCTGCATATCCACAAACACGTGGACAGAAATGTGAGTTCAGCACGTGACCCGAATCCTAGGCTAATGGATGACGGTGCAATCTGTCTTATTTCAGGTCAAGAGAAAAGAGAGTCAGCAACAGCAAGTTTACTCATAGAAGCTGGGATCCATGTGTAAGGGTGTCGTGTGTGCATGTGTTTGCATGGAGGAGCGTGTGCTCTGTTCAGACCCTGGGAACACGCTCACGTGTGAGGTCGTCACTCCTCCAGCCTGTCACCGAGATGACACATGTGGAGACCCAAGTGGCATGAGTTGGGATGATTTCCTGCTAAATTTTCATCTTGGACATTTTCTTAACTTACAGTCTCTATAGAGGATCCCAAAATGTGCTCACATGAGGCCTCTCACGTTCCAAACCCCCATGAACAAATGCAGTGAAACTCGATCAGTGACCTTCTGTGCACGAGCTGTAGAGTGAGCAGGATTCCTCCTCTGGCCTCTAAAGACCCAGGTAACTGACTTCTACAGGAGACGAGCCGGGTCTGTAAGGAACAAACTCATTAGATTCTGAAAAGGATCTGAACTAAAAGGCAAAACGCTCTCACACTGAAGGCCTCAGACTTCACCAGGCCCAGAGAGGAGCCCCGATCCTGCCCCAGCTCAGAGCACTTGAACTCCCTCCAGCGGCTGGACCCACGGCTGCCACACATGAGGGGTCAGGTCGGCCGTTCATTAGGACAGGGACGGCTGGGTGAGTGGGGTCAAGGGTGGCAATCTGGGGGCAACTGAGGGATGAATATTCCTGATGGTAAAAACATTCAAAGCACCTTTCAAGAAAGGTTAGGTGAAAAAGGCACTGAGGTTAGCACTGTAGGGAGGGCATTCTGACACTGTAGCTGACAAAGTTCCATATAGTCAAAGCTCTGGTCTTTCCAGGAGTCATGGACAGATGTTTGAGAGTTGGACTATAAGGAAGGGAGAGTGCTGAAGAATTCATATTTTTGAACTATGCTGCTGGAGAAGGCTCTTAAGAGTCTCTTGGACAGCAAGGAGATCAAACCAATCAATCCTAAAGGAAATCAACCCTGAATATTCATTGGAAGGACCGATGCTAAAGCGTCAGCACTTTGGCCACCTGATGTGAAGAGCCAACTCACTGGAAAAGACTCTGATGCTGGAAAAGACTGAAGGCAGAAGCAGAAGAGCATGAAAGATGATGAGATGGTTGGATGGCATCACCGATTCAGTGGACATGAACTGGGGCAAACTCCAGGGAAGCCTGGCGTGCTGCAGTCCATGGGTCATAGAGTCAAGACAGGACTTGGCAACTGAACAACAATAACAACAGTCAGTGCCTCATTACCTATTGGACAGGAAGCCAGTGGAGCCTAACTATTTTTTTTTTAAACAAATTTATTTTTATTTTTTTTTCCATTTATTTTTATTAGTTGGAGGCTAATTACTTTACATCATTGCAGTGGTTTTTGTCATACATTGAAATGAATTAGCCATGGATTTACATGTATTCCCCATCCCGGTCCCCCCTCCCACCTCCCTCTCCACCCAATCCCTCTGGGTCTTCCCAGTGTACCAGGCCCAAACACTTGTCTCATGCACCCAACCTGGGATGGTGATGTGTTTCACCCTAGATAATATACATGTTTCGATGCTGTTCTCTTGAAACATCCTCGCCTTCTCCCAGAGTCCACAAGTCTGTTCTATACATCTGAGTCTATTTTTCTGTTTTGCATATAGGGTTATCGTTACCATCTTTCTAAATTCCATATATATGTGTTAGTATACTGTAATGGTCTTTATCTTTCTGGCTTACTTCGCTCTGTATAATGGGCTCCAGTTTCATCCATCTCATTAGAACTGATTCAAATGAATTCTTTTTAATGGCTGAGTAATATTCCATGGTGTATATGTACCACAGCTTCCTCATCCATTCGTCTGCTGATGGGCATCTAGGTTGCTTCCATGTCCTGGCTATTATAAACAGTGCTGCGATGAACATTGGGGTGCACATGTCTCTTTCAGATCTGGTTTCCTCGGTGTGTATGCCCAGAAGTGGGATTGCTGGGTCATATGGCAGTTCTATTTCCAGCTTTTTAAGAAATCTCCACACTGTTTTCCATAGTGGCTGTACTAATTTGCATTCCCACCAACAGTGTAAGAGGGTTCCCTTTTCTCCACACCCTCTCCAGCATTTATTGCTTGTAGACTTTTGGATAGCAGCCATCCTGACTGGCGTGTAATGGTACCTCATTGTGGTTTTGATTTGCATTTCTCTGATAATGAGTGATGTTGAGCATCTTTTCATGTGTTTGTTAGCCATCTGTATGTCTTCCTTGGAGAAATGTCTGTTTAGTTCTTTGGCCCATTTTTTGATTGGGTCATTTATTTTTCTGGAGTTGAGCTGCAGGAGTTGCTTGTATATTTTTGAGATTAATCCTTTGTCTGTTGCTTCATTTGCTATTATTTTCTCCCAATCTGAGGGCTGTCTTTTCACCTTGCTTATAGTTTCCTTTGTTGTGCAAAAGCTTTTAAGTTTCATTAGGTCCCATTTGTTTATTTTTGCTTTTGTTTCTAAAATTCTGGGATGTGAGTCGTAGAGGATCCTGCTGTGATTTATGTTGGAGAGTGTTTTGCCTATGTTCTCCTCTAGGAGTTTTATAGTTTCTGGTCTTACATTTAGATCTTTAATCCATTTTGAGTTTATTTTTGTGTATGGTGTTAGAAAGTGTTCTAGTTTCATTCTTTTACAGGTGGTTGACCAGTTTTCCCAGCACCACTTGTTAAAGAGGTTGTCTTTTTTCCATTGTATATCCTTGCCTCCTTTGTCGAAGATACGGTGACCATAGGTTTGTGGATTTATCTCTGGGCTTTCTATTCTGTTCCACTGATCTATATTTCTGTCTTTGTGCCAGTACCATACTGTCTTGATGACTGTGGGAGCCTAACTATTGCACCCCCTACCCATAAGTCCCTTTTGGGTCCATCATTACCTCTGCAAGCTCAGGTGTTGATGTCATTACCTGTTTTTAGCGAGGGGTAGAACAAAGACCTAAGCCTTCCTACCTCACCCCATTCTAAAGTCTTATGGTTCAGACCAAGATCCCCTTTCTGCTTGAAATGCATTTTGAGTATCAAAAAAATCTAAGAATTTGCTGCACAGAAGGCAGAAGTTCAGCATCTTCTCAGCTGCTATGTTGTAGAATCCATACTCAGCCACCCTGTTGCAAGACAAAGCAGTCAATGAGGGGACCATACTCCAAACGGTGCTAGGAAACACCCTCAGCCCTAAAGCTGGCTACTCCTCCTAGGTGCTGCAGTGACTTCAACACGCCACTAGAGTATCTGTTTTGGCACCACAGTCTCCCCATAATTACCTAGGGTTCTGGGTGGTGGTGGGAGTCTCTCCATGAGGACACAGAGAGAGAAAGAGGGGCACAGATGACATCACTGCTCTTCCGAGTCTGCCCGGATGCCACGTAACCTGAGTATAAAACACCTAGCTGAGACTCTGCTTTCACAGCCACGTGAAGAGCACAGCCAGTTCAGATCAAGCAGAAGAGGGACAGGCACATTGTGAAAGAGGGCAGCAACACTGAGGGACTCAGGCCACGACTGCCTGTGTGCACAGCTGTCTATTCTACTGAATGAGGGAAATTGTGAACATTAGTTATTACGTGGAAGACGAAATGGAGGAGGCTGGTTAGATGTGAGTATGGGAAATTTAGGTTATGGAATGTGAATTCCTCTGCTGTAAAACCTGGCTATTCTAATGCGCACAGTGAAGAGGGGGTGAACTGTCACATTTCCCAAGTCTGATCTCAGCACCCTTTTGCCAAGAAGTATCTTACGGGACTAGTAACTGTGGAATACATTTGAGGACCTGCTACTCTATTAAGAAAGTAACACAATCTAATAATTTATATGCTATATTACACAGGTAAAATCTACACTTATCCTACCAAGGCCAGTGGTTTTTAAATTGAGCCAGACTTAGCCCCAAGCAGTCTACCAGAGCTTTCCAAGGAGTACAGACTCAAATAGTTTCAGTGGATCAATTTTCAGATCCTCACCTTCCTATTTACACTCTTTCCAAAGATTCACCAGCCTGAGAAAAAGAGATCTTTTCTCTATGTTCAGTCTTACAGTAGAGCAGAACTCAAGATACTGTTTCAAAATACAGTGTTTGGACAGTGAAAGCCTCTGAACAGGATACGAATCCTCCCACAATGCTGGTGGTTCCCAATTGTTTGCTTTCAACAAGATTGAAGGAACACTCCAGATTTCTGACTATTTATTTTAGCATGTACTTCCGAAGGAGATGGCTTTACCCTAAGTACTTCTGTTTCAATCTATCTGTGTGACAAGAATCTTCAACATTTCCCTACATGAAATTGAAAAGGGAGAATATAACTGATACTGTACCATGGCCATTCTAACGAAGATAATAGTAATCTACACAGAGATGGAATAATTGAAGGTAGAAGCCTTCTTCAACTCATTAAGCGACATGCTGCCACTGAAATTTTAACTGTATTTAGTGGTTTACTAAACTGTGAACTCTGTTTATTAAACAAGCACAGTTCAGAAAAATTTAAAATATGCAGAGCCTTATAAGTTTAGGATGCTATGTAATTTTGTCACAGATATGCAACTGAATAATATAAAAGACATAAATAATTCAACTGAAATTTTGAGGGGGGAGTAGAATACAAATTCAATGTGTAAAAAAGAAAAAATGCAGCATTCCTTTCCAATAAAAATTGCCTTTTTTGGTGTCATTTTTTGAAAGAATGATAGAGTTTACCACCTATTATATTTAGATCCTCTTGGCTTAATTTATAAGGAAATGTCCATTTTATCCAAACATGCTGTATCTACCACAGGCCAGCACTTAGATCCTCTACAACTATTTAGGATGAAAAATTTTAGATGTCAATTTAGAAATGTGTAAGGGGACACACAGGTTTTCAGAATTCACTTATGCGGTCTCTGAGCATAAAATTTTAAGCTGGCTGATCGAGGGCCACTAAGAACGAGTTATGTTTGGAAATAAGAGGGATGGTGAAAAGGGGCTCTAGTTCTTTTAATTCCCAGAAGGAATGTAGCGGAACTTTCAACTTAGGTGACATCCAGCTTTTTGAAGACAACCCTAAAAGCTATATTCTTGCCAAAAGAAAGTTAAATTATTAGATCTAGGAAACGTGCAGAATTACAAAACTGGCATTTGAAGACAACTCATTGATTTGTCTCAGGCCCTTCAGTCACAAAATATTTCCTTCCTGAAGAGTCAGATTCCACAGTGACCCTGTCTCAGAAGTGTCGTATTTCTTGTTTTCCACAGACTTTACAAAGTTACATTTGTAAATGCATGTTTCACTATTAAAGTTTAATTTGTCTTTATATGAATGCTTGTGTGTACACAATCATGTGAATGTGTCACACAAATGCTGGCTCTCGTTAATGTGAAAATTAAACGACTGTATCATGTTTTTTAAAAATAAAAATGTAGTCTCATTGGACATATCAGTCTTCAGTGAAGACTCAGTTGATTATTAGCTGTGAGTACTGACATGTTTTGCCAGTTGATTTTAAACTTATTCAGCAAACTTATTTTACAACAAAGATGAACAAGAAATCTGACCTCTATCTTACACCACACACAAAAATCAAGTGTCCAGTTAGATTACACATCAAAATGTAAAATGTAAAACAAAAAATAAAACAGTACCAATTCGAGAATGCATTCACAACCTTAGAGTAGGGAAAAGTTGTTTCAACAGAACACCAAAAGCACTACCTGGCAAGGAAGACAGCAAAACTAGCCTCTGCTAGAGCTCACAACTGCTGTTTGTCAAAAGATATAATAAGGAGAATAAAAAGGCAAGACAGGGTAGAAGAAGATATTAAATGGCAACCCACTCCAGTACTCTTGCCTGGAAAATCCCATGTACGGAGGAGCCTGGTGGGCTACAGTCCATGGGGCTGCAAAGAGTCGAACACAACTGAGCGACTTCACATACATACATTCACATATCTGACAAAGAACCTCAGTGAAAATGTGATTCCACCCCTCCAAGTCACTAAGATAATCCATTAGTGGAAAAGGTGTATTCCATGAATAAGTACCTCCCAAGAGTACATCCAAATGACTGATAAACAAATGAAAAGATGCTTACTCATAATTTGTAAGAGAAAATACAAATTAAGACCACAATATATCACTAACACACTTAGCGGAATGGCAAAAATTAAAAAGCTTAACAACACTAACAGTTTTTATCAAGACCGTAGAGCACTTGGCACTACGGTGCTTGTGTAAACTGGTACCAAACTATCAATGTATTGTAAAGATGTTTCATTCTCTCTTCTAAAGTTAACCATTTGCAATTCCACCCCTAAATACTGTTGACCCTCTGTATCTGCAGGTTCTTCATCTGTGGATTAAACCAACCTCAGATCATGTACTATGCTTGCAGTCCACAGCTGGTTGAATCCACAGATGTCAAATCCTTGGATACGGAGGGCTGGCTATGGGACTTAAATATCCTCATATTTTTGTATCCACAGCAGTTCCTGGAAGTAATCTTCATAGATACCGAAGGACAACTCTATACCTACTAGAAATGCATACCGTGTCTCCTGAGGACATCTACAAGACTGTCGAGAGACAGTACTACAGCACTGTTATCCACACCAGGCGAAACCAGGAGAGAGTTCTACTGTCCATCTACTGCACAATTGTTAAACTGCATGTCTTTATACAATGGAACACATACAGCAACTACAAATGACTGAGCTATTGCATGAAATGACATAGGTAAATCTCACAATGACACTATGACTGAAAGGAGCTGCATACACACAAATACAGCAAAGAAAAAAATGGAATACAACAGATTAAGAGAAAGGTATATAGGGAACTGCAGGGTGTTTGTAAGATGAAACAGTGTAAGGAGACAAAATGACATGGAGAATAGCATACATACACAACATGGATACATTTAAACAGTAATGTTTGAGAAAAGCTGAAATGCAGAAAAATGCACACCCAGTGATACCATTTATACACATTTTTAAAACTACATGCAACACAGCGCTATATATTCCTTCTAATAGACACATAGTGAGATGGGTAAAGTATAAAAATGGACTGAAAGGAACATCTAAAAGTTCAAAGATTGAGTCAGTGGGGAAGGCAGTGACTGAGACAGGGAAAGGTAGGTTTAGCTCTGTGGCTGTTTTATACTTTTAAAATGTTGGCAGTGGTGCTCTGCTTGGTACAAATATAAAAGCAGGACTGTTTACAAAGAAGAATTTACACTGATCCATCTCAAACTCCTCCTAAAGACTGAAGAGGAGGGACTACTCCCGAAGACTTTCTATGAAGCCACCATCACCCTGATACCAAGAGTACCACAGACACTATCAAAAAACAAGTTACAGGCCAATATTTCTGATGAACATAGACCCCCAAATTCTCAATCAAATATTAAGAAGCCAAATCCAACAACACACACAAAAAGTCATACACTGTGACCAGGTTAGATTCATCCCAGGGTCACAGAGATGTTTCAACATATGCAAGTCAACCAACGTGATACACCACACGACAGAACAAAGGGCAAAACCTGCATAATTATCTCAACATATGCAGAGAGCATTTGACAAGACTCAATATCCGTTTATGATAAAAAAGAAAACCAACTCTTACCAATGTGGGTATAGAGGGAACGCATCTCAACATAATAAAAGATATTTATGACAAACCCACAGCCAATATAATACTCAATGCTGAAAGCTTCCTGCTAAAATCTGGAACAAGCAAAGATGCCCACTCTCATCACTTCTCTTCAACACACTACTCTAAGTCCTACCTACAGCAATCAGACGAGAGAAAGCATTCAAACTGGTAGGGAGAGGTAAAACGGTCATTATATGCAGATGGCACGAAACTATTAGTGTATATACAGAAAACCACTAGGACTGATAAACAAATTCAGCAAGGTAGCAGGATATAAGATTAACATTCAGAAACCAGTTGCATTTCTTTAGTCTCCCAAGGCAATAAAAATAAAAAACGAAAATCAATAATGGGAACTAATCAAACTACAGGCTTTTTCGCAGCAAAGGAAACCATGAAAAAAACAAAAAGACAACCTATATAATGGGAGAAAATATTTGCAAATGAGGTGACAGACAAGGGCTTAATCTCCAAAATATATAAACAGTTCATGCCGCTCAACAACACAAAAACAACCAACCAACAACCCAACTGAAAAATGAAGACTCAGTAGATATTCTTCCAAAGAAGATGGACAGATATCCAGTGGGCACATGAAAAGATGCTCAACATCACTAATTATTAGAAGGATGCAAATCAAAACTACAATGAGGTATCACCTCACACTGGTCAGAAGGGCCACCATTAAAAACCTATAGATAACAATATGCTGGAGCGGGTGTAAAGAAAAGTCACCTACACTGTTGGATATAAACTGGTACAGGCACAATGGAGAACAGTATGGAGGTGCCTTATAAAACTAAAAATAGAGCTAACACATGATCCAGCAATCCCATTCATGTATCCGGAGAAAACCATAATTTGAAAAGATACATAGACTCAAATGTTCACTGCAGCACTGTTTACAATAGTCAGAATATGTAAGCAACCTTAATGTCCATCAAAAGATGAATGGATAAAGAAGATGTGGTACATGTATACAGTGGAATATTACTCAGCCATTGTGCTTAGTTGCTCAGTCTTGTCCAACTCTTGGTGACCCCATGGACTGTAGCCCACCAGGCTCCTCTGTCCATGGGAATTCTCCAGGCAAGAATACTGGAGTGGGTTGCCATGCCCTCCTCACTCAGCCGTTACAAACAATGAATTAATGCCATTTGCAGCAACATGGATGGGCTTGAGATTGTCATACTGAGTGAAGTAAGTCAGACAAAGACAAATATCATATGATATTGCTTACATGTGGAATCTGGAAAGAAGGGTACAAGTGAACTCATCTACAAAACAGAAATATAGTTACAGATGTAGAAAATAAACTGCAGAGAGTAAGGGAGGGAGTGGGATAAACTGAGAGACTGGAGCTGATGTATACACACTACTAGGACGCGGGTCTGGGTGGGCTCCGGGAGTCGGTGATGGACGGGGAGGCCTGGCGTGCTGTGGTTCATGGGGTGGCAAAGAGTCGGACACGACTGAGCGACTGAACTGACTGAAATATAAAATAGACACCATTTTATAGTTAAGTATTAAATACCTACCGTATACTATAGGGAACGTACTTAATACTCTGTAATGGCCTGTATGGGAAAATAATCCAAAAGAGAATGGATATTATTTATACAACAGGCTCACTTTACTGTACATCTGAAACTAACAACATTATAAATTACATTATAAATTACAAACTACACTCCAATAAAAAACTACATTAACAAACCCTGGAGAGGGTATGGAGGAAAGGAAATCCTTCTACACTGTTGGTGGAAATGTAAGTTGCTGCAGCTACTCCTGAAAACAATGTGGAGGTTCCTCAAAACACTAAAAATAGAATTACCATGTGATTCAATCCCACTCCTGGGAGCATGCCCAGAAAAAATATATAATTCACACAGATACATGCACCCTTATGTTCATAGCAGTGCTAACCACAATAGCCAAGACAGGGAAACAAGCTAAATGTCCACTGAGAGATGAAGGGGTACAGAATATGTAGTGCTCTTTGGGATACTACAGTGGGGTATTACTCAGCCATAAAAAAGAACAAGATAATGTCATTTGCAGGCACATGGATGCAACTAAAGATTATCATACTAGATGAAGTCATAAAGAGAGAGACAAATACTCTATGATATCACTTATATGTGCAGTCTAATATATTAATAGCACAGACGAACCTATCTACAAAACAGAAACAGACTCACAGAGAGAAAGAACAGACTTGTGGCTGCCAAGAGGGAGGAGGGCTGGGGAGGGAAGGACTGGGAGTCTGGGATCCGCGGATGCAAAGCATTCTATACAGGATGGACAAACAACAAGGTCTCACTGCATAGCACGGGAAACTATATTTGATATCCTGTGTAAACCATAATGGAAAAGAATGTACAAAAAAGAATGTTTATATGTATATAACTGAGTTACTTTTCTGTATAGCCAAGACTGGTACAACACTGTAAATCAGCTATACTTCCATTAAAAAAAAAAAAAACACTACAGAATGGGAGAAGATATGCAATCAACAAGGGCTTAATTTTCAAATTATATAAACAGCTCATACAACTCAACAACACAAAAACAACTCTACTGAAAAAGGGGCAGAAGACCTAAATGAACATTTCTCCAAAGAAGACATACAGATGGCCAAAAACCATGTGGAAAGATGTTCAACAACACTAGTTATCAGAGTAATGCAAATCAAAACTATAATGAAGCATCACCTCATACCAGTCAAGATGTCCATTATGAACAAGTGTACAAACGATATAAATGCTAGAGAGAGCATGGAAAGGGAACTCTCCTACACTGTTGGTGGGAATGTAAGTTGGTGCAGCCACTTTTGGGAACAGTACAGAGGTTCCTCAAAAAACTAAAAATACAGTTGCTATCTGATATAGCAGTCCCATTCTTATGCATATATCCAGACAAAGCTATAATTCAACAAGATACATGCACTCTATGTTCAGAGCTGCACTATTTACAATAGCTATCACTTGGAAATGACCAAAATGTCCATCGACAGATAAATGGATAAAGAAGATGTGATACATATATACTGTGAAATACTACTCAGCCATCAAAAAGAACAAAATGTGCCATTTGCAGTAACATGGGTGGACCCAGAGATTATCATACTAAGTAAGTCAGACAAAGACAAATACCACATGATATCACTTATATGTGGAATATAAAATACAATGTAAATCAACATGTGTAGGAGACAAAAACAGACTTACAGATAAAAAGAACAAATATGAGGTTGCCAAGGGATATGTGGGGTAGGAAAGAAGGAATGGTAGCTTGGGATTAGCAGAGGCAAACAATTACATATAGAATGGATAAACAACAATGTCTTACTGTATAGCATAGGGAACTACAATCAATATCCTCTGACAAACCATAATGAAAAAGAGTATATTTATATGAGTATATATATATTACTGAGTCACTTTGCTGTACAGAAGAAATTAACACAATATTATAAATCAACTATACTTAAACTAAAAAAATAAAGAATTGGCACCTAAACAGTGCACTAAATAAATTGCTTTTTTTTTTTAAAAGCAGGATTTCTCTACCAAAAGCAGATGCAGGCATGTTCAATCTTTCTGGTCCATAGCAGACCACCTAAACTGAACAATATATAACCATAGAAAATAAAGGCGGGAGAAGTAAAGGTTTGGGTGGGGGTGGGAATCAGAGTGTATGAGAGAGCCAGAGGGAGACTGAGACGAAAAGAAACTGTTATTATTAGCAGTTAATAACTCTGGGTAGTGAGAAGATGCCATTATATTACTTTTTCATGTTTCCTATTTTAAAATTTAACTTAAAAAAATAAAAGAAAGGAAAGAAGATAAAAGCTATATAAAAAGATGTACCTGGCAAA